GAATCACCTGCACCTTTTTGTAGGGTAGTGTTGGACACCATTTATAGCCCTGTGACTGCTGCAGTGGTTCTCAACTTCTGGCCCTTTAAATACAGTTCCTCATGTTGTGACCCAACCATAAAATTATTTTCGTTGCTACTTCATAACTGTAATGTTGCTACTGTTATGAATCATAATGTAAATATCTGATATGCAGGATGGTCGTAGGCGACCCCTGTGAAAGGGTCGTTCGACCACCAAAGGGGTCTCGACCCACAGGTTGAGAACCGCTGGCTTAGAGGCACATAAACGGTAGGTACAGCTGTTTTCAATATGTCTGACCAGGTTGCGGTTCTTTGGGAGCTGTTTCAGAAGCTGACCTGTGGGCATATGGAATCAGGAGTGTGTTTGCTAAAAATCTGGTATGGCTTTTATATGCTTTGCTGTTATATGATAAGGACTCCTCTAAACCTTTGGAGGGATGTGTGAGTGACAGTAGACGATAAAAAGATTCAGGTCCCATGTTTTATTTGCTGGAGGCCTTTGCAGCTCTCTCCTATGAAGTATTTCAAATGGTTCTTTACTAGAACTTTTTGTTTCCAGGTAATAACTTCTTGTACAATATTTCCATTAACAGCAATAAAATCTTAGCCAGAACTTACCTCAGTTCTGAGCTTTTGATACTCTGAATGGGATTTTAAGGAGAAGCTGTAAAAAATTGAAAATACATATATCCCTCAGGGTATGTCTGCTTGTACTGTGCTCTTTATATTAATTACAAAATCGTAAGCCTTTAAAAAAGTAATATAAGCGTATGGTAAAGCAAAATTTAAATGGTAGTAAAAAGATAGAAAATAAGAAATAATGGCTCCCTTCTCAACTCACATCCCAACTTAAACCCCAGTTTCTGTCCACAAATGTTAACAGTTTTATGACTTTTTCTAAAAAGTATTGTGCATGTGCCTGCATGTGTTATGTATATGCTTTTACATAAAGTATAGACAAATGAGATCATACCAAACACACTGCTTTGCATTTTTGTTTCCTTCAAAAATTATCGTGGAGTTCTTGCCATACCCACACACACAGACCTATCTCATTGTTTTTAGGGCCCACTGCATGGACATCCACTATGACAATTTGCTTAAGCAATCCTCTACTGATGAATATTCAGGTTGTTTTAGTTTTTCTACATTTTATAAAAAAAAATCTTCAGAGAATATCTTTTTACAAATATTTTCGAATATTTAGAGAAGGGTATTACTCAAGTAGTTCCCTAGAAGTACAATTCCTGGGTACTTTATGTATAGGCACATAAAGTTTTAACAATATAATCACTGCCCTCCAATATGATTGAATCAGTTTATATTCCCACCAGCAATGTTATGGGTGCTTGCTTCATATACCTGTCAATTCTGGCAGCATTACATCTTTTAAAACATTTGCCAATCTAGTGGACAAGAATATACCATTGTGGTTTTGATTTGCATTTCTTAAATTATAAGCAAGGTAGAGCATCTTTTAATTTACTTATGGAATATTTGTACTTGTTTCTCTGTGAATTGCCTATTTATCATTTCTTGCCTTTCTTTTGATGTTGCCTTTTTCTACTTTTGTGTTCATCAAATAGCAAGTTCCTACTTCCTGGTGAGCACTGTGCTGGGACTAGAGTTCTAACAGTGAGGAAGCACCACTGCCTTTGCCCTTTAGGAGCTTAGGGTGTCCTGGGAGATAGACATTCATTAGAGCAAGTGAGAGAAGAGACAGGCTTGGGCTGGGGGTGGGAGAAGACTGCTGAGGAGCTGACAGCTAAAGAACAAATAGGAGAAAGACAGACACTGTATGATTTCACTTATATGTGGGATCTAATGAACAAAATAAAATAGAAATAGATTTATAGATACAGAGGGAAGGAGGGTTGGAGGGCTGGGTAAAAACTGTGAAGGAATTAAACAAAAACAAACAAAAAAACACACCAAAAAAACTCATAGACACAGACAATAAAATTGTGATTACCAGAGGGAAGGAGGTGAGGGGAGGTAGGGAAGGGTAAAGAGGGGATAAATGGTGATGGAAGGAGACTTGGCGTGGAATGGTGAAGACACAATATAATATATAGATGATGCATTATAGAATTGTACCCCTGAAACCTATAATAATTTTATTAACCAATGTCACCCCAGCAAATTCAATTAAAAAAATAAAGGGAAAAAAAGATCAAATGGGACTGGAGGCTCAGGGAAGTATGTCTGGAGGAAGGCACAGCATTTTGGAGGGAATATGATGTGTCAGATGAGCTAAAAGAAGGCCAGAGAGCAGGGCACAGAGAAGATAGTGATACAAGATATGGCCCTGGCCTCATTAATGGTTGGGGTTTTTCCCTAGAGAAGAAAGCTATTGAAGGATTTTGAGCTGTAGTTGGTGACCAAATCTGAACTCTGAAAAGATCACTCTTGCTGAAAAGAAGGGAAACAGAAAGACCAAGCTGAAGGTTTTTGAGTTAGTGCAGATAAGCTCTGATAGTAGCTTGGCACTTGATTATGGTGATGGACAAGGAGAGAAGCAAATGGGCTCAAGAAATATGGAGGAGGACAAATAAAATTTGATGATGGATGGATAGAGGTGACAAGGAAGGGAGGAAGTGTCCAGGATGGTTCCTAGGTTTCTAATTAGATGGTGGTACCATTTACTGAAACAAGAAACACTGGTAGATTTAGGGATAAGTTCAGTCTTAGACAACACATCTGAGTGAAGCTGTCCAGTAGGCAATTAGATACAGAAGTCTGGGAGCAGAGGAAAAGTCTGGATTGGAAACATAAATTTGAAAGTCACTGCACACAGTAATTAAAGCCATGGACATGGGTACAATGGCCCATGAATCCCTGAAGAATGCTAATACTTAATAGCCCAGTAGAGAAAGATGAGACAGAGAGGAAAAGCAGAAGCCTGAGAGCAGTGGAAAGCAAGCCAAGTGTGGTGTCCCAGAAACCAGTGAGTGTTTCAAATAGGATGGAATGGGCAATAGTGCCGAACGCCGCTGAGATGTCTAGTAAGAGGCAGCCTGAAAAGTTCCCGTTGGATTTAGCAACATGACAGCTTTGGTGACATTAATATGAATTATTTCAGTAGAATAATGGGGGCAAAGGTCAAACAGGAAATGATTGAGGAATGAATGGAAAATGAGGACATGGAAGCACTGCATGGCCCACTCACGAGAAGTATGGTTTTTGATAGAAAACAGCCCAAACCTATTCTTCCTCAGTGTCTATTCTTGACACTTCTTTGCCACTCAATAAGCTGAATTGATTTTATAATTCAATGTTCCATAGCTCTGGTCTCTCAGTAGCCATAGCAACAAGGGGCAGAGTCTGAAGGGGAGGCTGCTTGGAAAGAATTGGGGGTTCTTTCATCCTTGGAGCAGCCTCCATTACAGAATCACTACTGAAACCAAGGTTAAGAAACAAAGAGCCCTGCCCTAGGCAGTTTGGCTCAGTGGATAGAGTGTTGGCCTGCAGACTGCAGGTTTCCGGGTTCGATTCTGGTCAAGGGCACATGCATGGGTTGCCAGCTCAATCCCTGGTAAGGGGCATGCAGGAGACAGCCAATCAATGAGTCACTCTCATTGATATTTCTATCTCTCTCTCCCTCTCCCTTCCTCTCTGAAAGCAATAAAAATATATCTTAAAAAACAGGAAAAAAAAGAAACAAAGAGTCCTTTGTTTTAGAGACACCTACTGAAAAACAAGTAAAAATGGAGTCTGGGGTTTGCAGAGTGAAATAAGATAAGCCATGAATTGATCATTGTTGAAGCTGGGCAGTGGGTACCTGGATATTTATTATGTTGTTCTCAATTCTTGTGTTTATATATACAGTTTCCACAATTCGTTGTAAAACATTACATTTAGGAACTTGGTAAGATGAAAGTTCAAAGAGCCCAGGACCCACTGTTTAAATGGCACTTACAAAGGATCTCCTTCAATCTGCCATTGGCTTGTGGACATCAAGGTGCCACATGTCTAAGGAAACAAGTCTGCTCTCGTGTGCTGTCCCTTCTTCCCTCGTTAACCCTGGCTCCTGCTTCTTTCCTCTCCTCCTTTTTTACCTCCCTGGTGAGTGTGGACTTCAAATCACAGTTCCATCACTTACCATCTCCGTGAACTTGAACGAAGTCCCTCTGGTCTGTAAACCAAGTCTCTGAAAGATCGGGTTATGCATCTGCTTAGCAATGTTTCGAGGATTAGTTCTGACAGTGTATGTGGAAGCATCTAACTTAGCTCACAGAGCTCAGGGGGTAAACAGAAATAATGAAGCTGACCTGGCAGGAGACAACCTTGTGACGCTGCTTGGCCTTTCTTTAGCTTTGCCACTTTTAGGAGGCATACAAGTAGAAAAATTATGTGAAAAATTCATTCCATAAGAAACATTGCACTGCAAGCATGATCACAGTGGAATACATAATTCATATTCATTAATAAATGGGAAATAAACTAAGACTTCACTCACCTAAGTGGCGGGAATTAGGGCAAACCAGAGCATGCAGGCTCCATCAAAAAGGGGCAGTCCTGCATAGCGCTAACCGATCGCTGCCTCGAGGGAATGCGGCCAATGTTAACATGTCTTCTTGTTTTACAAGACAAGCTAATGCTCTAAATTTTTCATGTGAAATCTCCCAATTCTTAAATTTAAGTTAAATTACATTAAAAAAATAATAATACAAAGGCACGAAGGCCAAATTAAGCCCATCTGCAGGCCAAAATCAGCTACTGAGCTGCCAATGTGCACCCTCTCCCCTTCATTTCTACGGTGGAAGAGATTGAAGTGGTTTGAAGAGGTGATGAAGCCCAGAGGGATGTGATCTAGACACCTCATCCTGCCCCAAGGCCTAGGTCAGTGCGTGGCACGTAGTGGATCCTGATGAAAAACGTAATGAATCAATGTCAGTAACAGGGGGTAGGGGACCAGTTCAGGTTTTTGTGCATACCTTGGGCTTACCTGAGAAACTGTGTCATTTCTCTCGACAGCCTTGCGAAGTCGTTCTGGCCGCTCCATCATCAACGGGAACTGGGCAATTGACCGGCCTGGAAAATACGAGGGTGGAGGGACAATGTTCACCTACAAGCGTCCAAATGAGATTTCGAGCACTGCTGGAGAGTCCTTTCTGGCTGAAGGTCCCACTAACGAGATCTTGGATGTTTATGTGAGTTTGTATGTTTCTGGGCTGTTCTCTGGATTGTTTATCTTGTTGCTGCTAAGGGCCACACTTAGAACAAAAGGCAACAAACCGTTACCCATGCTCGATATGACCATCTGAGCGGAGTCCTTGGAGGTGCCCTTGCATCTTGGCCTTCATCTTCACCATTCACCCTGAATGTGCCCCGCTCACAGAAACCTTAAACTCTACCAGATGCTTAGAACCCTCAGAGTTTATTGACCCAGTAAAACCAATTTTACTTGTTGAGCCAAATCAGAGGCAAAACAGATCCTTTATTTCATGAGCATTGGATCTCCTCCAGGCACTTCCCTCCTAATGCTAATTTGGCATGTTTCCTTTTTATGGCAAAAGAAAGCAAATGCCTAAAGCAAGACAAGACCGCTCACAGTTCCCAGCCCTCTTCAAATTCTGTTAAAGCAAATGAAGACGGGAGAACTCCAGCGTGCTCCAGGTGACCCAGTAAAGCGCAGAGTAGCAATGCAGAGGTTTAGTAGGCACTCCCTGTGAAGCAGGGAGCTTAGCTTACTTAACAAGAAAATCAATTATTAAGTTACACAAGTTAAAAATGATCCTTGTTTCTTAAGAAACACTAGAATCCAGTCTTCTTTAAAACATCAGGAAATAAAAGGTGACAGAAATAAAAGCTTGAAATTGGGTTTTATGATAAAAAGAAGGAGCTTGATTATAGATATGCGTTCTCTTACAACCTCCAAAACCAGCACGTGATGTGTGCTTTGTTAACGTTTTATATATATTACTTCTCCAAATTTACATGTTTGTTCCTCTTGGGGCTAGTGGCTCATGGACTGGAAACAATAAAGAAAGCCTTGTTATAGTTAATTTTCGATATTCTTTTACACTGTCCAATGGGTTGTTGGACTCTGGGTAGGTTTAGAATGGCATCAGGGATAAAAAGTCAGATTGTTAAAGGACCACCGTGGGTGGTCTAGGATGTGGTGGCCAACAGTAATTTTCTAAATGGGACGAGGTTTGTACTGGCAGAACGCTCACGCAGCTCAAGAGGCACGGACGAGGGAGAGAGGATTTACAGCCACAAACCAATTGTGGAATTGTGTGAAAGGAGAATTAGGTGAGGGGATGAGGGGTAAACCGCAGGAACCTGAGGTCATAACACTGTCTCGCAGGGCTCTGTGTGCACCACCATGGTTTCTGAGTGTATGAAGTCCACTGGGTGATTTATAAAAGGGAGGCCTCGTTTCACATGCAGGGAAGACATAAGAGTTAAAGGCATAAATGGACATAATAGACATGTTCAGGAACCAAACTGCTTGGAGCTGAAAAGACTTGAGATCATCTGTGATTCCAACTTCTTCTCCAGATGAAGAAATAAAAAACTGAAATTAAGGGACTTGATCTAGATTAGACGGCTGGTCAACAAGAGAGCCGCTGTATGAAGCAATCAAGACCGAAATACCAGGATGTGGAGTGTCTCCTTACCTGACTCAATTTACTCAGTAAATCCTCATTCTGCTGGTGAACTGAGCCGATCACCCTGCTGCCCACCAGGAAAGCCATGGGCGTTTGTGCCCCAGAACCAATAAAGAGGGGTTCATTCTGCTGGGACATGCTGATTTATTTTTTCTTTTGCCCCAGAGAAGTCTCACTGCTGACCTCCACAGCCCTATGCAGCTTCCTGCTTGCTGTTCTACTTTTGTCATCAGTTCCTAAGACAATAGGACCTACGGACAGTTACTTCCCTTAGACCTGTTTTCCTGACCCCATCTCTTTGTGGTCTGGAGCTTTCTATGGATGAGAAGTGGAGGAACCCAAGAGTCAAAGAGGAAGAGGGTGGGAGCAGGCCTTTCCTGAGCCAGGCTCACTGGCCACATGAAATGTTGAAAGAACCTAAAGGATCCGGCTGGCTCTGCCAGAGGTGTGCCCTTTGCTCGACTCTCTCGCCACCTAGTGTCCAAACAGATTCTGTGTCGTGTCAACACGTATCTGCCTGGACACTTTGAGAGCACTAAGCAAAATCTAAGCCCTGGTATAGGATGGTTGGGAGCCAACAAAAAGGTTCCAATCATTGCTCCCATCTTCCTATTTGGAATTTATAAAATGTTCACTTTCAGCCTAGTTTTCTTTTAAGTTTTTCCTTCTTCTAAAGCAAATAACAAAAAGCCATCTGGAAATAGCTTTCATAGCTATTTGTTTAATCTGTCACAGGTTCACTAATATTATTAGATGTGAATCAACCCCCTCATTTATAGATCCTGTCACTTATTCCACTGAACCCAAAGCCAGGGGGACATGGATGTGCGTGCCAGCCCAGTGACACTGACTTTTGTGTTGTCAGATGATACACCAGCAGCCTAACCCAGGAGTCCACTATGAGTACGTCATCATGGGGACCAATGCCATCAGCCCACAAGTGCCACCTCACAGGAGACCAGGTAAAATCCCATGTTTTTCTGCCAAGCACTCAGGTCATTTCTCTTTATTTATTTTTATTTTTAATTTCAGTTCAATCTCATTTCCTTTTTATTAAAGTTCAAGTTACCATTACATGGTTTGGTACTCAGTTGAGGAAGACTTGTCCAAATAAGGTAATATGTTATCATCAGTATTTCCAGGTGATTGTTTACATTCAAGTCGCATCATCAGTAAATCCTTGGGAAGCCCATTGCTAGGGTTTATACTTTGTCAAGGCCCAGTTCCTCTGGAGTGGAGATTCCCAGTTCATTTAAAGTTGGTCTAAGTTCCTGGATGACATAAGGGTAGATTTCCTTATGCGGTCCTGCTTTGTCCCTAACAACCTCTAGGATGCGAACAGCACTAGCAAATTAACCGTCTGCATGCCCGCAAAGCAGCATCAGTGATTTTGGGTTCTGGAACCAGATCGTAGCCAACAAGCGTGTTCATCCCTTTCCGCAATTCCCAGACATCAATATCTGGCTTGTTGAAGTATGTCACCCAGGGAGCATCAAATTCCTCATCTGTCTCATGTGACCCATGGGAATATTAGCCAACTGATAGCTCCGGGGACAGGATGGGAGCCAGATAGGGCGCAGGAGGGCTCAGCGGAGAGGGGCACCCGGCATACCAAGACAGGGGGGTGCAGGCTAAGGTTGACAGTTGGGGCATTTCCTTTTAAAGCCCCTTCCCTCTTCTTGTGCAGCTACCCTCTGTCTCTAACTCAGCACAGAGAAAACCCAGGGACGCATACTTCAGAGTCAGTGGCCCGGATGTCGCCATTTATCTGAGCCTTTGCTGATTCAAAAACAAGTGAACATCTTGGGTCTTTCTCTCCAAGTCCTCATTTTGAAATGCCTTGTACTGGTTTCTTATTGTTGCCATAATAAATCGCCTCAAGCTTAGTGGCTCAAAACAACATATTTACTCCTTTACTGTTCTAACAGTCAGAAGGCCAACAAGGGTTTGTGGGGCCAAAATCAACATATCGTTGCCCTGTCCCCTCCGAGGCTGTAGGAGAGAGTGTTTCCTTGCTCTTTCCAGAGGCCGCTTGCTTTCCTTGGTTCACGGCCCCGTCCTCCATCTTCCAGGCTGGCTAAGCAGCCCTTCACATCTCTTTTTGGCTCTTACCCTTTGCTTCCGTCATCACATCTTTCCCTGACACTCACCCTCCTGCCTCTTTCTTATAAGGACCCTTATTGGGGCCACCCAGATAACCAGGATAAGCTCTCCATCTCAAAATCTCAATCACATCTCCGAAGTCCCCTTTGCCATGTAAGGTGACATATTTCAGGCTCCAGAGATTGGGACACAGACATCTTCTGAGGGACACTGGTCTGTCTGCCAGTGCCTTTCCTGTTGGCCCCTTTTTGCTTCTGTCAACGTACGTTGACCTATCAGAAAAGAACACCGAATCCACACGTAGCAACCTGCCTCTTCCCTGGGGCTCTGCTGGCGGACAGAGCAGGCAGCTTTTGCTTAGGAATGGCACACACTCGGGCTCTGCAGATGTTTCTTTGCCGAGTGCTGCTGGAGCCCACAACCTGAAGGGAGACTGTCTTTTCCATCTTTCAAACAGGAAGGTCTGCAGAAATATTTATGATGATAGCTGCTCACACGCTCCGGGTCCTTGCTGTGTGCTGGACACTGCTGATCCCTCCACATAAATCAGTCACCCAGTGTTCACCACAGTGCTCAGAGGAAAGTACTGTTATCGCCTCATTTTAAAAGTAAGGAACTGAAAGCTTAGAGAGATTAGGTTCTTACCCAGATCCCACAGTGACCTCAGGCCTGTCTGTGTGACTAGCCCTGTGCTTGTTCTACTGCCGAGAGCAGTGATGGTGAACCTATGACACGCAAATCACCGGGATAATCTCTCCATCTCAAAATCCCAAATAACCTGGTTATTAGAGGTGACACATGAACTCATTTTTTTGGTTGATTTTTCTTTGTTAAGTGGCATTTAAATATATAAAATAAATATCAAAAATATAAGTCTTTGTTTTACTATGGTTGCAAATATCAAAAAATCTCTATATGTGACACGGCACCAGAGTTAAGTTAGGGTTTTTCAAAATGCTGACACGCCGAGCTCAAAAGGTTCGCCATCACTGGCCTAGAGGCTACCTGGCCCAATGCCTGTCCTACAGAGAGAGGGGACAGGTGCGAGACCTGGCACATTCATCCTTTTCTGGGCTGCCGATCAGATAATAAGGTTACCTGATGCCACTGGCCACTGGGAAACAACAGCCTGGAGTGTGTCAGACACATAGGGTCGAAGTGTTGTTCAAACTCCAGGTTAGCATAGCCAACCCAACAGAATTTTTAAACCATTTCCAGGAGCAATACACAATCTGAGAACCAAGTCCAGGTGGCAAACTATTAATGCTGACTTAAAAGGGCAACTGGACAGACTACTTGAGATCATATAGGATATTGGTCATTGATAACAAGTCTAATGGGTTTCGCCTAACACGTAGCATGGAGTTCTGGGATCCGTGGCCTGGGACAGGGCGGGCCCAGAGGGGTCATTTGTAAAAAGTTGGTGAGGAAGGGCATTCTGGACCAGGTTTCATCCTCCATATCAGCCGAGTCAGGAGGACAGAGCCTGAATCCAACTCTGCCACTTTCCTGCTGTGCATCCTCCGGCAAGTCAGTAACGTCTCTGAACACATTTCCTGTCTAAAAGCAGAGAGGGAAAAACTACACTCAAAAGTTTTGTTTTGAGGGGGGCAGCAGGGAGGGAAATTAATAAATTAGGCATCAATCCTTGTGCCCAGTACATACAAAGTACTCAAAAGTGTTTTTTTGCTGATAACATCTTGGACAGTCTCATTTATATCAATATGCCTGGTTTTGACTGTTGTTTTAATTTGCATGGCATATTTTAAACCACAAAGTATTGTAAGTAGCCAACTAGATAAAAATGTGCTGGTGAAGAGACAAAGAAAGCCCTATGTTTTAATTTGATTTGACAGTAACTGTAGAATTTGCCTCCTTATTTTGTAATAAACTAATATGTGCTTGGATAAATGTTGCCAAATTACTCTCCAAAATCTGCATCTTATTTGCAGACTCTTTTACAGTGCATGAGAACGTGTTTTCAGGAAACTTCAACAAGGAGTGTAGGGATTAAGGGTTTCCAAGGTCTCCAATCTTTATTGTTAGGCAAATAGATTTGTTGTTGTTCTTATTTTCACCTGTAGTTCTTTAATTATGAGTGAAGTTGAGCACTTTTGGCTGCTTTTCCTTTTTAGTAAATTGTCTCTCCCTGGCCCTTGTCTACCTTTCCTACTTGGATGTTCATCTTTTTCTTATTTGTTTTTAATAATGTTTTAAACATTAAGAAATTTGTGTCTGCTTATTTTAAATATATGTGCTATGAATTAGAAATGATCTCATGCTACCTGATTTCAAATGTTGAAGCAGTTTCCTCTTTACGACTCACCCTCCAAACTGAACTTCCTTCTGTGTGGCCCTGGCCTCTCCCAGGGGAGCCCTTCCATGGCCAGCTGCTCCCGGAGGGGAGGAGTCAGGAGGCGGGAGAAGAGAAGGAACAGACAGAGGAGAAGGAAGGCTTGCACGGTGGGGCACCAGAAATATTCACCTCGGAATCTGCGCAGACCTTCTCAGCCAGGCATCCAGATAGATTTTCTTCCCACTGGCCGGGCAATTTGGTGCTACCAGCACCACAGCCCCCACGACGAAGCCGAGATCACAACTGGAAACAGCTTGGGACCACGGAGTGCTCCACGACCTGTGGGAAAGGTGAGGTGTGGGCTGGCAGGGCCTCTGTGAACCAGGAGACAGGTGTGTGTGTGTGTTGGGGTGGCAGCGGGCAGGGAGCAGAGAGGGGCGGGGAGGGACAGGGACATGAGCCTGGCCCTGCAATGGCTCACTAGTGTGAGGTTATGTGGGGGGGTCTCCAAGATCACCCTCAGGTTGGACTTACAAGACAGGAAAGCTGCTGTGTTCGTGGTTACAACTTATTACAATGGAAAAAAAATAGGTTAGAATTGGCAAAGGGAGACAGAAAGCTAGGGATAATCACACATTGAGGCCAAAACCTTTTTGGCGAGGACCATGGCACGATAGAGGTAAGCTGTATGAAAGTTAATTGACACAGGAACCCAAGATCAAAACGTATTTTTACTGAAATAGTCTGCCATTTGGGTTATGGTGTGATGCCTGTTGCAGGAACCAGATACACTCAGAACCAGGTGGAAACAAGGGAAAGTTATAAAAAGGATAAAAATGGTTGTCATGTGGTTTTACATCGAAGGTGGCAGGTGTAGATTCTCCTCCATTTCATGTCTTTAAAAATCGCCTGGCCCAGCCCGCCCGGGAGGGTGAGATGCGGCCCTCTCTGGAGGTGGTCAGACATTGCTTTGTGGACATAAGGATGAGGACAAAGCATGTGCCGTTAGCCAGCTCACCCTCATGCTGCTCACACAGCCTGTTCACCAGATGATGCCACTCACTCACCCAGGAGGCCATTCGGCAGGTCCCGTCTGTTCTGTACCAGATGTGATGCTGGGACCTGCATCAAAAGGTTCTGCTTATCTCGTCCCCCTCAACACCACTCCAGTCTTCATGGTTCACGCTGAAATAAAATCTACCACCCTCACTGTTCTCTGGTATCTGGCGGGCACTCTCCTGCTTGCGCTTCACCATCTAGCTCGGACATCACCTCCTCTGTGAAGCCTGCCTGATTCTGTAAGGCAGAGGTCGGCACTTCTTCCCTGGACCCCACGGCAATTTGGGACACAGTTCTTTTTGTCCCAGCTCTGCTTGGCTTGGCTGTCTCCATGAGTGTACACTTTGCAACCTCTACAGCTGGTATCATACCAAGCACACAGTAGGTGCTCCTCAAGTGCTTCTTGAATGAATGGCTATTTATCTATATATCAGCTATTAGAAAAGATATAAGGGTAGCTTTTACATCTTTATTGCATTCTGGATATACAAATCTGTTATTGCCTTTGCCCATGTTCTATCAGTAACATAAAGAATGTGGATTTATGTATTCAAAACTGAAGAAGTTCTTTCTCTAGATTTCCATATTATTATTATTTTTAATATATTTTATTGATTTTTTACAGAGAGGAAGGGGGAGAGAGAGTTAGAAACATCGATGAGAGAGAAACATTGATCAGCTGCCTCCAGCACAGCCCCTGCTGGGGATGTACCTGCAACCAATGTACATGCCCTTGACTGGAATCGAACCTGGGACCCTTCAGTCCGCAGGCTGACGCTCTATCCACTGAGCCAAACCGGTTAGGGCTCCATATTATTTTTATTCATGTTCTGAGATAGTCTTTCTCCTTTGCATTGTGGGGACACACACACTTCACCTACGCACTCAGTGCCTAACATGACTTGCTCACTCATCCTCTTTATCCTGGTAAACTGCACTGATTCTCAGGCCAAAGAGCTGCTGAAGAAGTGCCTTGGAAATAGAAGAAAAACAGAGATGTCTTATTCCTCTAACACTCCCTTCTTGCCTCGCCCTTGCCCCCTTTTTTCTCCCATGTGACAAATGGCAGTAGCCCATGGATGGCCCCCCTTTGCTCCCTTGAAGGTTTGCTCCCAGACATCAAAAGCCTCAGTCAAAGGTGAAGGGCAGGTGAGGCCCTGTGAATGCACCAAACGCTTAGCTCACCTCATGGACGTCAGCGGTAGTGACATAGTGTCGTGACAAGAAAGTCTGAGCCTGCCAGTGCTGTCGGCTCTTTTCTGGGCAACCCAAGCCCATTCCCCTGTGACCTCATCATTGTCCCCACACTGACCCTCTCCCAAGCTCTTCTCCAGCCCTTCGCACATTTCTATGCCGTCACGTTAAAATTTCCCTTTCTGTAAATGTCAGCATCATGACATCATCATCACAGAAGGGGCCCTGTCACGGGCATTCAGGTGTGGCCTGTACTCCGTCCAGTCATTGGTAAGACCTCTATCTGGTCAAACTCTTGGCCTGATTGGTTGGTACGTGGAGTGCCACACTGGACTTACTTATTTTCTTCTTGCTCCTTATTTTGTCCATCTCTCCATAATGCCTTACTGACCTCTGCCTGCGGTACAGTGCCCTGTCCAACTTAATGTACTTCTGTTTTGATCAATACATCCAACATATAACCCAACCAAACTGATCCCAGGTTCTTCCTGCTGCCTGAAGCCCGGTCAGCAGGACCTCACCACCCTGGGCCTGCTGAATGGCATGCTGGAACAGTGAAGAGATGGCCAGGTTTCTCCCTTTCTGCAGAGATCAAAACTGACCCAAAGAAAGAAACCATCGTGGTCACTGGAGTCAAGAATTATAGATCTGGTATTTTCTCAACATCAGAGAAACAGAGAGAGCCTCCAACTTTATTTCCTCAGCTAAACGTTGGAGCTGGACCATGGACAAGTGTGCTGTAACGGTGGTGAGAGGGTGGGGGAGGGCAGGCAGAGGCCATGTGCAAACAGCCCAAGCAGGACACCTCTTTGCAAGACACGGAGCATCCCTATGGTAGTCTGTATCCTTTTCCCTAGAAATACTAAATCTCCCTCTCACTTGAATGCCAAGTAGATGGGGTAGTTGCTATTTCCAACCCACAAACTTGTAAGTAGAAAAGTAAAATTCAAGTGGTCTGAAGGGAAAGGGATAGGCTAAAAAATAAGACTTTTACTTAATCCCTTAATAGCTGAGTCCCAATGGACACCCTGAAAGCCATGCACTGAATCTATGCACCTTTTAACTGAGAGCAACGTGCTTAATGTTTGTTCACTTTAATTGAAGATCCTTCTTAAATGGAAGCAGATATACCGCTGGACCAAACTTAATTTCGCAAAAGTTTTTGCTTCCTATTAATTTTACAATCAGTACTGCTTTTTGCTCAGCTAATAACGATGCTTAATTGGAATGTTATTATAAATAATGGTCTCAAGTTATAGCCACATTGTAAATTTTTGCTGCCAGAGTACTTTAAGCAAGTGTGTGTTTCAGATTCAAAACTGTCTTACAAACTGTCCAGTTTTTTACAAAACTACCCTCTGGCTCAATGTCACGCAAGACCAGCTTAAAGAGGCAGTGAACCACTGCTCACGGCTGACGAAATATTGAGACACTTATTAAAAATTATTCCTCTAACTACAATTAAAATTGTGGCAAGCTGGCAGTTCAGAAACTGTAAATGCCTGGCCATTCGCAGCAGAGCCGAGCCCGAGCTATAGAATAAGGCTAGTGCTCTGGGGGCAGGAACTGTGTGGTGGCCTCGCCTGGGGGGTGGTCAGCTCTTTGTGAGAAGCCTGCTACTCTCCCAGCAGTTGGGGTGCAGGTTCAGCTGGTCACATTTCTCACTTTGTAAACTTTCCTCTTGATACTTCAGTGCTGCCACCAGGGGGTAGCAAGGAGAGGAAGGCAGAATTGCGAATTGGCAGGTTTTTAGTTGTTTTGAGAGCTACAAATTCCACTTAACAAATTCTTTTTTCCCAAAAATAGATTTATAAATTTTAAGACAATGAAACTAGGCTGTGTAGGTGTGTGTTTTTAATACAAAAATCTGAGGCAGTTTGTATGATTTTTTTAAGCAAAGTAGTAAAAACAAATATTAGACCACTAACAAATATTCATTCAACAAACTTTCATTGAACACCTACTACTCTGCTGGGTACTGGGGATACAGAGATGCCCAGGAACTAGTGCTGTCCCTCAGAAGCTCACTGTCTCATGGAAGCAGACATATACTCTTAAATAACTAAAATACCACTGGACCAGGACATTACAGTGTCAAATGCTTTACATAGGAGAAGTCATCTGTGCTTCTAGTCTTTCTTGAATCTTATTTCTCTGCTCCAGCCTAACTATCTCTTAAACATATCTGTTGCTTGCAGGCCAGTTTGTCGGGCACTTTTGTTCTAGCTCAGCGACTTGGACAGCTCCCTCCCTTCAAGACCCGGGTGCAAACAGGTGCCCCACCCAACCCTTTCTCTGGGATGCGGCTGGAGCCCTCTCGGGCCCTTTCGCTTTGATGTCTCCAGAAAACCTTCAAGAAGTTATCGTTTGTGCTTATTTTATAATCTCTCCCCGGCACAGTGATATAAAAAACCATTATGGAAATTGGTTTATATCTGCCTTTGAGCGTTTCAAACCATGTTCACCAATAGACTGTAAGCTCTTTGAGGGCAGGAACGATTCCTACTCTCCTCTGCACCCACAATGCAGAGCAGAGCCCTTGCGTGGGAATGTGCGCGTGGATTGTTCTGTTTCTGTGGCCTCTTCATCAGCACTTGGGTCTTTGTGCATCTCCACCACAGACCAGCACTCAGGTGTGCGGACTGCCCTTCAACGTTGTCCTTGTCCTTCTAGGATCGCAGTACCCCATCTTTCGCTGTGTGCACAGAAACACTCATGAAGAGGTTCCCGAGAGCTACTGTGACTCCAGCACGAAGCCGACCCCCGAGGAGGAGCCCTGCAGCATCTTCCCTTGCCCAGCCTTGTAAGTCGCCCTCTCTGCTTCCATCCCCATTATCACGTCACTTCTGGTTGCTTGTGCGTAGGACCTTGGTAGCAGATATAATCTCATTTTTAAATCAGTCTACATCTGATTTAGAAACATGAGACTTGATCTTAGCATAAGATGCAGTCTGTTTAGCAAGAGCACCTGTCTTTCAGGATCAACACAGGAGCCTGTAGCCTTTAGCAGGTCAGCACACTCCCAGGAGCCCACCATTTTGGGAATTAGAGCAATTAGGGTTTCGCCTGACAAGGAAAACAGAGGGAAACAAAGAACTACAATCCAGTGTAATCAGTGCTGGAGGAGAGCTGTGTACAGAGAGAATAATGAACGGCACCCCACATCTGCCTGGAGAAACCAGAGAGAGCCCCTCAGAGAGGCCTTGGACTGGCTCCTGAATGACACATGGGACATTTTCAGGAGAACATGGGGAAAGGGCCCAAAAGGTGTCGAAACTTAATTCTCAAAGTAATAAAAACATTCTCATCTGAACACCTGATGAGCAGGGTGGCACAAGGAGGAAATATGAGACTGATGCGTAAATAGTTCATGAAAAATAAAGAATGCTGGGCTCAGATTTCTAAGTTAGTTCCTAAATGGGTTAGTGTCCTACAGGGTAATGAAACTAGCTTTGTGGTTTGTTTATGTGGGGTTTTCTACCAGATAACTTTGTACCTTCTCCATTTTCTTATGTTGTATATACTCACTGGCAAATAGCATGTGGGACAAACCTCATTTCTCTGCAGAGTCGGTGGCCCTTAGGTAGACTGGTAAGCAATGCCCTGGGAGTCGGGTCACCCACGAGGATTCTGATGGTTCTGTGTAAGTCAGCTCAGCGCCTGCCTCTTCCTGTTGACTGAAGTGATCTGTCCCTGCCCCTCTCTCCTTCCTGAGCCAGCTGGGACATCGGGGAGTGGTCCGAGTGCAGCAAAACCTGCGGCCTGGGCATGCAGCATCGCCAGGTTCTGTGTCGCCAGGTGTACGCCAACCGAAGCCTGACGGTGCAGCCCTACCGCTGCCAGCACCTGGAGAAGCCCGAGACCACCAGCACCTGCCAGCTCAAGATCTGCAGTGAGTGGCAGATCCGGACGGACTGGACCTCGGTACGTGGAGGGGGGCCCTGCTCTGGAGCACCCCCTCCAAGGCCCACACTTCCCTCCTGCCTCCCCCTCCAAGACCTGACGTGGAAAGACCCTGAGTTCCCCAGGAGAGAACCTGTCCGCGGGCTCTGGGCGGCCACCTTTATAAACCATAGCATGTGCCATAGCTCGATAGAGTTAAAGCCAGGTATCACCACAGCCAACTCGACTGGAGAGCCCAGGGGAGCCCAGGGGAGCCCAGGGGAGCCCAGGGGAGCCCAGGGGAGCCATGTGCAAAAGCTCGTCATGGTGGAGGGAAGGTTGGCAAATTCTGGTAGAGTCGTCTCCTCCCCATCTTCTCTCCCAGTCTCTAGATGACAGAACAGAGGCTCAGATGGACAGAATAGGCAAGATATCCAAGAAGGCCTTAGCGAAAGGGCCTGTGAAATGATCAGGGCTGGGATTCTCCTGAGGTAGCATTGCATGCGGCGGGCCTACCAACTTGGGGAGTCTCCACAGCCCTCTGTTTAGAGGGCAGGTGACAAGTAGGCGCCCGAGCTGATGCTGCCCGCCCGCTGACAGCTTGCTGTGTTGCAGTGCTCTGTGCCCTGTGGAGTGGGGCAGAGGACCCGGGACGTGAAGTGTGTGAGCAACATTGGGGACGTGGTTGACGACGAGGAATGCAACATGAAGCTCCGGCCCAATGACGTTGAGAACTGCGACATGGGGCCCTGTGCGAGGAGCTGGTTCCTCACCGAGTGGGGTGAGAGGGTGAGTGTGGCGGCAGCAGAGTGGGGGGGCGTGGAGGCTGCTGGGCTAAGGGTGGGAGCGGGTGTCACAAGGTGCCCCCAAAACCATACAAAGATGAATTGCTAGCCCAGAATCCCAAGGGTAATTTCTGACTCTGGGGGAAAGACCCATAAATGAACTACTGCAGGCTTTCTATCTTGTGAATCTCCATGGTGCTTCCAAGTATGGTGCCTCTGGATCACTGGGCACCTTGTTACACAGAACCTGGTCAGCAGGGGCGGGCTGGCCCGGATCCTGCATTTCTAAGGCGCTCCGATGGTGCCAAGGCTGCAGGTCTTAGGAGGTGCTCCTGAGCTCCCAAGCCTCCCCCCCAGTGTCATGTGAGCCACAAACAGTGAAGTATGTCCAGCTGGGAGGAGTAAGGGGCACATCAGAGCATGGGGGCCATCCACCCTGTTGGTTGATTCCAGCTGGTCAGCATCCACTCTGACTGGTCAGTGCTCACTATGGACCAGTTGCTGAGTATTCTGGACATCACCCTGCAGGTGTTCACATGGGTTTCCTGCACAGCCTCCCTCTCAGCACAATAAAACAATCCACGCCGGTGGGGGGTGGGAGTGCTGCTGGGAAGGAAGGGAAGAACAAACCTGTAAATGCAGCCTTCACTCCACATTCAGAGATCCCCCCAGAGATTCCCATCAGGTGGTTTATCTCCTCCCGGCAAACAGCCCCTGTCCCTTAGCACCAAGACAGTCCCCAGAGAGAGAGGGCCTTTAGGGAAAGCACTGAGCCCTTAGGGTGAGCAGCTCACTGTGCCTCCAGGCCCAGCCCTGGACTCTAACACACCAAATTAGCCATCAGGAAGGTGCTAACCAAAGATGTCCATTGACTCAGACCTCTGCCCCTAAGGCTGAGTCCAGCAGAGCTCGCAGGGTTCTGTTTGTGTACCGCCCCCCCCACCCCCCACCCCCAGCCTACTTCCCCTCCCAGCAAGCACATGGCTCCTGGCCTTGGGGAAGCAGTGCTCGGGGGTGTCAGGGGTCACTTTGAGCACCTCCCTTGCAGCATAAGGAGTCCTTGACAGCATCCCTGACATAAATCTAATCCCTTTGTCAGAAATTCCCTGTGTGTTGAGCCAATGACATCTGCTTCTTGTACAACCCAGTATCAGGTTTCCTTCCACATTGAACCCAAGTTTTTCTTGCCAGCTCCCAGCACGCCCTGTCAGAAGTGCGTGCGTGCTCTGTCCTTACACTGCAGACCACAGGTGCTGGGGAGCCCCTCCACTCTTTCTCCAGGCTAAACATTCCGACTTCCCCCAACTGATTTTGTCTTTCCAGATTTCTAGCCAGAATTTGTTTGTACTTACAATAAACCTGCCTAATTTAGTGTATAAGCAAATTAATGAAAACAATGCTACTGGGCCCTCTTTTTATATTGGAAAGATGTTTTTGAAAATAGTTCATTTTTCTGCTCATACAGTAATATAAACTATTATAAAGAATATGAAAAGAATCTCAAAGTATACCTATAATCTCTTCAATCTAACAATTTAAGACTTTTAAGCTATACTGACAAGCTTTTTTCAACTCATACACACTTTGCATACATAGTATTTTGTATTCATATATGTATTTTAAGAATATAATAATATATGTATAGTTTGTTAACCTGATTTTTTTCACTTTTGTATTGTAAACATCTTAATGGGATTAAAAACCTTAAAAGCATGTTTTTTAATTAGAATAAGATATTGTATAATTATTATAATTGAACTAATAATGCCCTATTTCTAAGGATATTTTTTGCTAATTTTTTTACTATTGTTAATAATATTTCTGTAAATATTCTTTTTTTTTTATTGATTTCAGAGAGGAAGAGAGAGTGAGAGAGAAAGAAACATTAATGATTAGAGAGAATCATTGATTGGTTGCCTCCTGCACGCCCCACACTGGAAATCAAGCTTGCAACCTGGGCATGTGCCCTGACCGGGAATGGAACCGTGACCTTCTGGTTCATAGGTCAACGCTCAACCACTGAGCTCAGTAAATATTCTTATGTATAAATCTTTATATGCACTTTTCTTTGTTTTCCTAAAATAATGTTTAGGAAGTAGGATTATTTGACCAAATGCTGTGAACTCCTTTAGAACTCTTGACGTTTTGGCAAATTTCTCTCCAGAGGATTATTCCAATTTAGACTCTCCCAAGCAGCAACTGAGATCGCTTTTATAATTCTTTTATTTCACTTATTCTTTACCGCTTTTAATTCCATCTCTCTACATTTGCCATGCTCTGAAAAAAAAGCACTGGGCTCAGAATGACCTGTGTACAAAGAAAAACGCACCTATGTGGAGGAAAATTGCAATGTTTCATTTCTCTGTGTGTCTCCCATATTTCCTTAGAACAGTAAAACTCTACGAGTAAATTTACACACTGACTATTTTCCCTCCAATAAAGACTCTCTGCTTTGTATTTTCACGAAGAACTTGTTGGATCTAACCCTTGTCTTAGAATTCCAAATAGAGCAAAGAGTGAGCACTTTATTCTTCCATTTAGAGAACTTCTTTGGAAAAGATGTGTTAAGCCATGTAAGTGTCCTATGTATGATAAAAGTAAGTTTGCCTTATCGACCCCCAAAATAGATCATTGTTCCTGATTATTTTGAGTAGATGAGCAGGAAGGGGTGCTATTGTGCTTAAGGAAGGTGAATTGCTGTTGGCACCCTTTCCTCAGGAATTATTTCTTATGAGACCCTGAGCAAGCTGCTGACACCCTGCCTCTCCGTTTCTTCCTCTGTCACATTGCTGAGTGAGCATGAGGGGAACCACCTTTGAAACTATGACCTAGATGAGACTGGCATGCCAGGAGGGTTTCCTGTGGGCTGCGTTCTTCTTCCTGTCAACATGAAGCCTCCATCAAAACCCAAACTGATGGGGTTCTGAGAGCCTGGGGTTAGTGAACACATGGAGATGGCGGGGGGAGTGATGAACCTGGAGAGGGCGTGGGGGCTCGGCACTCCTTCCCACATGCCTTTTCCTGTGCTTCTCTTCCATCTGGCCGGTCCTGGGTTACATCTTTGTATAATAAACTGGCAAAATGTTTCTCTGAGTTCTGTGAGCTGCTGTAGCAAAGCAATCGAACTGAGAAGAAGAGCCTTAGGACCCTTGGATTTTTAGCCAGTTGGTCAGAAGTACAGGTAAGAAACTGGACTTGGGGTTGGCTGCTGAAGTTGGGGGTGGGGCAGTCACCTGTGGAGTCTAATGCCATCTCTAGGTCGTGTCAGAACGGAGTTGAATGGCAGGACACCCAGCTGGTGTCAGAAAATGGCTTGATGGTGTGGGGACCCTGCACACACATTGAAATTGGCACCAGAATACCAAAAGTAGCCTGTTGTCCGATTTAAAATTAATTGGTCTCTGCCTAAATAAATCGAGGTTGTAAACTCAATCTGAACCTTCTCTTAAACGTCTAGGGCCGTGGTCGGCAAACTGCGGCTCGCGAGCCACATGTGGCTCTTTGGCCCCTTGAGTGTGGCTCTTCCTAAGCCTTAGGAGTACCCTAATTAAATTAATAACAATGTACCTACCTATATAGTTTAAGTTTAAAAAATTTGGCTCTCAAAAGAAATTTCAGTCGTTGTACTGTTGCTATTTGGCTCTGTTGACTAATGAGTTTGCCAACCACTGGTCGAGGGTAATATGTATAGTTTTTCTGACTTGATGACTCACCTTAAAAACATCCTTGCAGCTACTTTTTAAAAATTTATTTCTATTGTTGAAAATATTTCAGATGTTCCCCTTTCTCCCTATTAACCCCCTCCAGCCCGCACCAGCCCCCACCCAGGCCTTCACCACACTATTGCCTGTGTCCATGGCTTACGCATATATGGATATTAAAAGTAGCTGAAGAACTTTTAATTGAGGGCGGGGCTTATTAGATTCAGGCTTCCTTTACTTTTTAGTTCTGCAAATCAATGGCAGGTTTAAAAATCTGTGCAATTTTTCATCACAACAGAGAAAAAAGTCTTTTAGAAAGTCCACCAGCCCCAATTTTCTAGCACCTAATTTCTAAGTATGTTTTCCAAGAGAAGAAATAAGCAAAGATATTGAGTTATTTAAATTGTGAAAGATGATGCATAAAACTGAAGTTCAGGAATAGTCATTAGAACCGTATAGTCCCTCAGGGGCCACTCGGCCAGGTTTAGCATTTAGCTGTTGCTGGGGTGAGAAGACAATCCTTACCAGAGGGTTGCCTAGGAATTCCATGTATCTCTGTGCTTTATCTGTCCAGGGGTTCATTTCAGAGTCAGGTTCTTTTCTGAAGTGGACTTGGTCCTTCTTTTAGGCACATCCTTCAGGGACAGTGCATGGGGGTGTTTCGGTGCCTCACTTTGAAGGTTAGTCTCTGCTGCCTGGAGGGGACCCCTCCCTCCCCTCATTTCTACTGCTAGGCTCCCCTGGCCAGGTTCTGTGCCAGTAGCTCCTTTTACATATAAACTGGTTGTGCTTTTCACTGCAGCCTCCACAGGGCTCATCCTTGTGATGTTCTCTCACAGGGCATTGACTTGGTCCTTAACATTAATCTTTTAAATTAAGTGCACAGGGATATGGGGAAACTTTCCCAAGATGCATGTGGTTTTTCCAAGATTACTTAGTTTGGAAAGCAGATTTCGAATAACAACGCAGTTAAAACGAAAATCGTGAATAGCATTTGTGAACCTGTAAGGGGAAACAACTTTTCCTTTACTCTCTTAGGTTCTTTAGCGGAGGGCTGCAGATTAAGCCGACAGTGACCAGATTCACAGGAGAAAAGCATACAAACCGTATCTGATGTTATTGTTTTTATATGGTGTGGGGGATAGGGAGAAGGGGACTTCATAGTAGAGAAATGAAAACCCCAGAGAAGCAGTTAGACTTGAGGGATTGTGTAACATCTTAACAAAGGGTGATAAGTTGTGAAGTGACTAGACAAAGGAAAGGGGTTTGGGCTTCTGGGAATAGTAAATTGTAGGAAAATGGCTAAGAAATATATGGGGGAAACTAATGGGAGGTAAGGGTTATAGTAAAGTTTGTTCATACAAACTCATCTTGATTCCCCATCATCCATAAGAATGTTCTCTTCTTCCTGGAACTGGGAGGGCACCTTTCTCAGGGGAATGTGTGCCCTGCTTCCAGGCCGGGAAGGGGAGGGCAGAGAGCACCTCCTGCATCTGCTGTTTCTTCATTGCCATGAGCTCAGAATAATCAACAGGCCAAAGTAGCATATTCTGGGGCATGTTCTAACCAGCTCTGAGTTCTTAGTTCCAGGGTCCCCTCCCTGAGGAGTCAGACACAGCTTAGCAGTCAGTGATCATGTAAATGTTTGATACTCATCTTGGGTTATGATTTTACAAGGTTAGACAGCAAGTTACAAAAACAAAAGTAGGATTTTTGATAAAGAAATTAGGCTGTTAATATTTTTATTCCTTTTCTCAAATTTTATTTAAAGTTATATTGCTTTTATTTACTTTTAAGATGATAATATTGGTAGAAACCAAACACTGACTCTATTTTTAAGAAAAGACCCAGCATAAATCCCTAGAAGGGCTTTGGTCATCATGTAAAGGCACTTTCAGAATTGGAAGGTGCTGATGAGAGGAGAAAAATGAGCGGGGGAGGACCCCCATCATATTTATTTATTCAGCCGATATTCAGGGATTCGCCCATAAGTAAGGTGCTCACTAAGAATGAAATAAAGGTGATGTAGGCACTGAGCCTACTTCTATAGTGGGAAAAAAAAATGGACACAAATAACCATAATACAAAAGATGACAGAAGAATACAGATGTGTCAGAGCACAGCTGCACTGAGTCCACTTATTCTTGTGAAACCAGCCCTACTACACTAACTGTGTGGGCTGAGCCCCTCTGCTAGGGGCTGGACCTTCTTGGACGCCAGGTGGTAGAAGGAAAGGCCATGAGAAGTTGTGGGTGTATAAAAATGAGTCTCTAGGGGAGGAGCCAGTGGCCATTGCTAATAAGGAGCCATCAAACAAAACGTTGTTCACAATAGTCCCATACAGCAGCCATGCACCAGCTGCTAACAATACATCTTTCCCACAAAGCAGTAGTAGCCTCTGTACCCACAGCCTCACATAGCAGCAGCACCTGAGCTCTCTCTGTCCCAGGAGCCTCTCTAGCATAGCAGCAGCACCTGAGCTCTGAGCGCTCCTAAGTAGCCTCAGCAGCTTCTCCCTACCACACTGGATGGCCAGTAACATGTATTATACTACTTAGACAAAGGAGGCTTCTTGCCAAATAGTGACCTTGCTGTGTACTGGCATAGTCCTTGGACACCCCGATTAAGATTCCCATGCTTGGAATGGCCTTGGCCATCTGGCGTACTCTGAACAAGGCCTTTCACACTCCAATTGGCCTTGAGCATCCGGCGGACTCTGGCATGGTTCCCACAAGATGTCATGGGAATTCTGAGGGTGGGAGGATATATTGAACTGGAAAATCATGGAAGCTTTCACAGAGGAGATGACACTTGAGCTGAACCTGAACAGATTTTGAGTGTCCCAGGGAAGGGCAAGAGTGCTCCAGGCAGAAGGAACAGCAGGGACAAGGTGCTGGGAACATTTCATGTGGCCAGGGAACAGTGAACGTTGGCTCTGTCCAGGATAGTCCCTGGTTTCCATATATTACATCTAACTATTTGGCCCCTATGATTGTTTTAGAAGTTCATATGGTGATAATGTGGAAACTGCTATCAAGAAAATCAATGTGGCCCAGCTGATGTGGTTCACATCAATGAATCTATGAACCAGGAGATCACAGTTCGATTCCCAGTCAGGACACATGCCTGGGTTGTGGGCTCCATCCGGCATGCAGGAGGCAGCCAATCTTTCACAATTGATGTTTCTTTGGCCTTTCTGTCCCTCTCCCTTCCTCTCTGAAATCAATTAAAATATGTGTGTGTGTGTGTGTGTGTGTGTGTGTGTGTGTGTGTGTGTGTATTAAGGAAAAACAGTGTGTTCCCAGTGTAGTCTAGAAGAATGGAAACCTTTAATGCCGTTTAGGGGTAGTCCATAGTGAATGTCATTAGGAATGGACCAGCAACAGAGGGATTTCAACATGGAAATACCAGCATCTGGCAGCCCAGTGACAAGAAGAGCTGGTGAAGCTGAGCGAGAAGCTGAGGCCACAGTCCGGGGGAAGAATGTCAGGGTGCTGGGAACCACCCACAGCAGGGACAAGACAGATAAATGTGCTTAAACTAGAATCGATGAGACCTGCTAGCTGGCGAGATATGGGAAACCAAGAGGCCAAAGAGCAATCGGTTTTGAATCCAGATATGCATTTGAACACACATTGGAAAACCCAGAGGAGGAATGGGAATGGTGAAGGTGGTATCCCGTCATTTCACCTGTTGGACATGAGATATCGATGAGACACCCACGCGAAATGCCCTGAAAATATAGGATGAGAAGCAAAAAAAGGCAACATTCCAAAGTATTTCAAGGCAGATGGGAAATGCTCTCAAAGCTTCAGGGTGTGACTCAGGGGAGTGTTTACTGTGTCCTGGGTGAGGACAGAGTGAGATTGTAATAATGACAGTTATGCGGCTTTAAGTGAAGGCTTAATCCTGTGAGCTTTGGTTTCTCTTAGAGTAGAGATGTAGGTCTCGGCCCTTTAAAGCCCCACATACCATTATTGAGTACCTACTGCATGGGTTCATTGAGCACCTGCTCTCTACATGTCATTCATTCCCTGAAATGCTGCCAGGACTGCGTTCCCTTGCCCACGGTCCAGGTAAGCATGCCAGAAGTGAGAGGCTCAGGTCACTTGCCCCAGGCCACACAACTGGTAGTGATATTAACACCAATATGACCGGTTCCCAGTCCAGGCTCTCTTTATACCAGGCTGCCTCCTGGTACACCGTCACAGCTGTGCCCTTCAGGGACTACAACCATGTGCCTTACTATTAGGCAGCATTGTTGAGGTGACAGACGCCAGCTCTCCTCCTTCCTCAGACCAGCCCAGACTCACTACCAGTATGTAGACGTGTGCCCACGTTTTCATGCTCTCGTTCTTCTTCTGCTGAATATATTTTTGAAATCCAAAGCCAGAACAGATAGTTTGACAAGTGTAAGCATATCAATTGCAACAATGGAATGAAGACTGTCCCAGAAAATCGAAGGCCGGGGGATATGCCATACTCATGCCCCATGACGGAGCAGGCCGTGCGTGAGAAGTGGTCAGACATTTCCAGGGCAAACAGTTGGTGGGGAAACCTCCTTGGAATCATTTGAATGTGGCTTAAAAACCTGGGGGGAGAGGCCTCCCCTCTACTGTGTCCATCTTCTGTCTCACAGTGTTCAGCGGAGTGCGGGGCTGGAGTGCGGACTCGCTCGGTGGTATGCATGACCAACCACATCAGCAGCCTGCCTCTGGAGGGCTGTGGGAACAACCGGCCAGCAGAGGCCACTCCCTGTGACAACGGGCCCTGCATGGGCAAGGTGGAGTGGTTTGCTGGGAGCTGGAGTCAGGTGAGTGGCAGAACTGGGTGTGTCTGCCTGTCCCTGGAAGAGGCAGCATAGCAGAGGGGTTAGGAACTGGACCTGGTGTGTCTAGGTTTGAATCCCCGCTGTGTTACCCATGACCCTGAAGAAGTTGCTTATGCTTTTGGAGCCTCATTCAGTCAACACTATTTATTGAGCATTTATTATGTTCTCTTCTAAGCACTTGAACACAATAAATATTCCTGCCCTCAGGGAAGCTCATGGTGTAGCATGGTTTCTTTGTCTATAAAATGCTAGTAGCAACAGCCCCTTAGAGATTATTTTTAGAAGAAATGAAGTAATGTATTTTAAGTATGTAGCACAATGCCTGAAATACAGTAAATGTACTATAAACCACAGCTACTGCTGCTATTATTGTTAATAAAGCCAGTTTTGTCTGAATATGAGTGTCAGAAGCAGAAATAAATATGACCCAGAAATCCTATATCTGGATATGAGATCATTATCTCCAAGATATATCTGCATGCACTCTTATGCTCAAAGCAGCATTATTCACAATAGCCAAGGTATGGAAACAACCTATGTATGTGTCCACCAACAGATGGATGGATAAGAAATATGCATTGGAATATTATTCAGCTTTTTAAAAAAGGGAAATCCTGCCCTTTACAACAATATGGATGAACCTGAAGGGTATTACGCTAAGTGAAATAAGTCAGACAAAGACAAATACTGCATGGTATCAATTATATGTGGAATTTTTTAAAAAAAACAAGCTGATAGAGGGTAGAATGGTGATTTCCAGGGGTTGGAGTGGAGGAAGTGGGAAGAGGTTGGTAAAACTTTTAGTAGATGAATGAGGTCTAAAGTTCTAATGTATATCATGGTGACTATAATTCATAACACTATACTGTATAACTGAAATTTGCTAAGACAGTATAACTTAAGTGTTCACACAGAAAAGAAAGGTAAGTATGTGTTAAATCAATGTCAGAATCCTTTTCAAATGTATACATATACCAAATCATCAGTTTAAATATATTATAATTTTGTTTGTCAATTATACCTCAATAAAGCTGGAGAAATAAAGAAGCATAAAAAGAAAAAATTAAGGTTGTTCATTATAAAGAACTGAATATTTTAATAAAGTGACTTAATTGATCAATTAATGTTTTCCTGACTGTGCCAAAATTGAACATGAACTGTCTTAGAAAATGTGGAAAATATCATTCCCTCCTATTTTTTTTTTTGATATGATTACTATCAGTATTTTGAGTTCTTGGACCACTTAGCATTTGGCTCCCAGGGCTGGCTGGTTCTCCAAGGACTTTTTGGCTGATGATCATGATTTACACATTATCATGATCTCTGGCTCCATATAGAATTTTATTTATTTTACGTAGCTTTAAACATAGACCCTGAGAAAAATGGACTGCCTTTCCTTGGTAACTGATATAACCCCTTTGGAAAGTAATAAAAGTCAAGAACCATAAAAATGTTCATTTGCCTTACCCCACTCCTGGGGATTCATTTTAAGGAAATAATTAATAGAAGAGAAAAGGCTTTTTGACAGAGATGTTCATGACAGCAGGGCAGTATATTATGGTATATCATAACTCCTTAAAATATTATGTGCAACAATGATAATTAGGAAGATGTGGAAAGTGCATTGATATAGTGACAAGTGAAAAACAATATGAAAATCTTTGAATCCTATTATCTCAACCACTTCAAAACATAAATATACTAAAAATGTGCCAGATCAATAATGAACTAACATGTTATGATGAGTATTGTTACACACAGATGAGAAAGATCACATCCAGGGAAATCCTGGATACATCATTAATACACACTGTACACACCAAATAGATAGAATACAGTCTGCCTGTGATGCTGGGATTGGACTTAACCTCCAGCACAAGAAGATTAACTAACTCCGTAACTAACTAACATGGAAGCAAATAGGAAATACAAGCGAAGGAGGTTCCCTGGATGCCTATGAAGATGGCAGAAAAGAAGGCCCAAAGCAGACATTGCCAATCTGGGTGCTTGTTGTGCCCCATGTGACCAATTCATAGTCTATTGGCTTGGATTTTTCCTTTTCTGGGGTCCCCCGCCCCCATTTTTGTTTGACCATGTGCCTGCCTACAGAAGCAAGGCTAATGTTAAGAACTTTAGCTATAGACATTGTTAAATCTTTTCATAAAGGTAGTGGATTCTTTAAAGTCTCTGAAGGCCTATAAAACACAAGTTTTAAACTTTTTAATCAAGATATATTGAGTAAACCAAATGTGAATAAAAAACGCTTTACAAAGTAATAGATTTGTGCGTAGTTATATGCATCATATTTCCATAAGCTAACAAAATGCATCAATGTATGTAATTGTCTGGCCTCTGTGCTCAGACCCCAGGGAAGTGAGAGGAATGGGCCCCATGGTGAAAGGCTTCCTGCTGGCCATGCTGTTGGGAAGGGAGGGTTGGCCATATTGTCCCAAGTCCAGAATCTTCTATTCAGCTTTGTATGTCTCAGTGAATTTTAACTTAGTCCTTCGCGCACAAGTGTGCAGGCTCTGAGAGACTAATTCATCCCCAGTGTCTGCACATTAAGGGACCAGCAGAAAATTAATGTGTTAGTTTATTGTCTTACAGGCAGGGTTCTGTAAGAGTCTCCTGGACAGAAACAAGCAGAGTGATTGCCTGGTGTGTTCCTGTAGGGGAGTCTAAGGGGAGCCATTTCAGTCTCAGCACAGAGGGCACCATGATCTCAGTGACCAGTAGCCTGAAGCCATGATGACTCAGGACACCCATTCTCCGTCCCAGACACAGAACTGTTAGGAAAATTGGAATTCGTGGGCCACTGCTCTTCTAGAAATGTTTTCCAATGCCCTTGGGCTCTTCCTCACTGAATTGATGATGTGCAGACATACCCTGATGGACTGTCATTCTCATCTCCTTTCTGTGATGTGATACCATCTTTCTCTGCTTCCTTCTTTAGTGCTCCATAGAGTGTGGCAGTGGGACCCAACAGAGGGAGGTGATTTGTGTTAGGAAGAATGCAGACACCTTTGAAGTGCTGGACCCCTATGAATGTTCCTTCCTAGAGAAACCCCCCAGCCAACAGACCTGCCACCTGAAGCCTTGTGGAGCCAAATGGTTTAACACAGAATGGAGCATGGTAAGTCAGGGTGCTCTTAGCAGAGATTGCTGATTTTAGTGCATCATTCTCCTGCTTTCCTTCCATATGCACACCTGGGCCTCCTACTAGGTGCCAGGCACAGGGCTCAGCCCTCAAGTAGATTCCCTATAGTGACCTATTTGGTTGGTTACTGCCAGGGCACCCCAGATACAGTCTACCTGGGGAGTGGAGCCTGAGGCTGGGACAATCTTGATCTAACCTCGGAGCCCTTAAGTGCTGACTCTCAAGTGTCAGTATGCATAAGAATCAGCTGGGGCCTTGTTAGGAAAAATGAATTCTGGGTCCACCAAGAGGAGTTTGCATTTTGAATAATCTCCTTAGGAGAGTTGGATGCAGGAGTCCTTGGACTGTATTTTGAGGAGTGCTGCTGCAGAGGATTCATGGCTGAAGGGATTCAAGGATGCCATTGAGAAACTGCATCATGAAGGAATTTCAGTAGGTCTCAGTAATAGAGTAAGACCCACACCAGTCAGGCCTCAGTGTGTGTGTGTGTGTGTGTGTGTGTGTGTGTGTGTGTGTGTGTACACTTGTTTAAAACCCAATAGACGATATGGGATATGTATTATGGGACTGATCCTGTTTTTCTCTTTGAATTGACTCCTGGAAAACTCAAAGCTAAAATTGTGGTCCATCTCTAAGAGAGAATTTATCAGGCCTTACAAAGGATCTTTCCTACTTTTATATTTCATTTAACCTCAGTTTCCCCAGATCATTTTACATTTTGTAACCCTCAAAGCATTTCTTAAGCCATCTCAGATCCTTTTTGTAAGGAGGAGGGTACTGTGTGAATGATGAGAGGCAGAGAGAGTCTGAGACAGAGAGAGAGAGTTAATACACAAATAGGTTACTAAGAATGAAGTGGAAAAGGATGGAAATAGTGATAAAACCCTTTCTTTCTCCAAGTAAAAGAGTTTATTTTCAAAAAACATCCTAAAACAGAAAATGTCCTCAGGGCATCATTCCTGGTGACCAAATAACAGACCATGGACTCATGGGGGTGGGGTTCATTCTGCTTTGTTTCACTGAAGATCTTCAAGCGTGGCTGTGGGTGAGCCCAAAGTAGAGGCCAGAGCCTTTCTCAAAATCATTCATAGGTGATAAAAAGGATCTTGCTTATAAAATATATGAATAAAAGCTGAGAATTCTGTATCCAAACAGTGTGTGTTAGCTCCAGTGAGAACAGCCATTTGGCGTGTGGTGAACCATAGATCAGAGGCAAATGAGAACAAAAGTGGTGTTGCGTTTCGGAGGTACTTTGTCAACTTCTGGGAAATGGAATTTAATTATTTTGATGCTGGCCAAGGCCCTTGAGAACACAGGAGCAGATCAGTATTTTCTTTTACTGTTTGGTTGGAAGAGTCTAAAAGGGCCAGATTCACCAGACCTACCAAAAAAGACAAACTGTGAAAACAACTGTCTGGAAACAACCCAAATGCCCCTCAACAGGTCAGTGTAGTACCTCTGAACCACACATATTACTCAGCAACAAAAATGAATGAACTGTTGGTACCCAAACACCGTTGATGAACTTCAAATGCATTTTGCTAAATGACTCCCAAAGCTACAAATTGTACTATCCCATTTATATGATATTCTGTAAAAGGAAAAACTATAGGGACAGATACCAGGTCAGTGATTGCCAGAGGGTGGGGTGGGCTGAATCTCACCAGGGGATTTGTTGTGCATGATGAAACTTTGACATAAATGATAATAACAAAGACTGTGATGGAACCCAGATGTCTTTAAAGATGCCTTGTTTTGTAAATTTGAGTTTATTACTGAGTCAACATTTTATATAATCTATATATATAAAAGTCCAAGTGACTATTAGGACTGAATGACTGGAACTACCAGTCACTATGATACGCACTGACCACCAGGGGTCAGACGCTTAACACAGACGCTTAACGCACTCCCACAGCAACCTCCCCCAGCCAGCCAACTTCCCATGGTCCCCCCAGCTGGCAGGCCCCAATTGCCCAATTAGGGCTGGGCCCCAGGCTGGGATAGGGAAACGGGGGTGAGTGGTGGCAGGCGAGGGCTGGCCACCTCCTCAGGGCTGGCAGCCAACCTCCTGTGCCCCGTCCCTCCCCCTGGCCAGCAGGCCCCAGTCGGTGCCCACCTGCTGTGGTGGAGGCGCGGCAGCGAGGGAAGAAGGAGGGTGGAGGTGGGGAACTGCAGCAGCAGTGTTGTGGTCTGGCATCTGTTCCTTCTGTGCCCAGCCCAATAACCATCTCCTCCTCTCCCGACCCTACCAGGGCCTTCAGGCCCTTAGCTGGGACAGGAAACTGGGAGTGGGTGGCAGTGGATGTGGCCCCTTTCCCAGGGAGGCCAAGGATCAGTCCCATCCCGGACTGCTCAGTGAGGCAAAGCCAGTGGGACCCCAAGTGCCTGCAGCTGACACCTGCAGGACCAGCTCTGTGGGGGAAGGGAGTACAGCTCAGAACAAGGTCAATAGAGGTATGAGACTCAAGGCAGACCCAGCATCTGGGCTAAAGAGTCCTCAAATACTGGACTACTAGGGGATTCAACCTATTGGACCTCAATCAGGTTGCCCAGGGCCAGAAAGAGACAGTTACTTACATTCACCTACAGTAGAGAAGTTCCCAGGAGGCCCGGGATAGACATACCAAAGGGACCGTTCAACAATATCAGAGCAAAATCCAGCAAGCCCCACAAATAGTGGACCCAAAGCACCTGTTTAACAGCTGACACTACAACATTGGGGTTGAACCTCACTGGCAGCAACTCAGAGGGGAGATCCCTCCCACAAATAGGACATCAATATTCAAGTCCCAATTAAAACAGGAGAGCCCAAACAACACACACAGGGGGCATTCCTAGAGCATCCAGCTCAGGAAATCAAAGAGACTACACCACTGGACCCTCAAGACACTTTCTATATAAGGCCACCTCACAAAGACTTGAGCTAAAGCAGTTCTATCTAATACATAGAAGCAAATACAACGAGAGAGCTAAAATGGAGAGACAAAGAAACAACCCCCAAATGAGAGAAAAGAAGGAATCTCCAGAAAAAGAATTAAATTAGATAAAGGTAAGCAACCTATCAGACATAAACTTCAAAGCAATGGTTATAAAGATGCTTAAAGAACTTAGTGCAAATTATAACAACATGAAAAGGGAAATAGAGGCCATGAACAAGAACCAGACAATGAAGAGTGATACATCTGACATCAAGAACACACTGGAAGGGATTAAAAGTGGATTGGGAAAAGAAGATGGCGGCGATATAGGCAGAC